TATGAAAGAAAAATAAATAGTTCTAATACAAATATTCACTTATACGTTGCAAGTAATTTAAATATTGCTTCAGACACAATGCAGAGAGTAAAGTGTGGTTCATGCAAAATTAAAAAAGATGAAATACGTAGTTTACAAGAAAAAAACAGAAAATTGCAGCAGAGAGTTTGTTTTTTGAAAAAATCAATGACCTGTAACAAACTTACCAACAAAAAATTTAAAAGACAGTATTTTTACTAAATTTGTGGAAATTGAAATATTCAGAAGAAAAAAAAAAACAGTTCAACAGAATAAGTTTCATTCTCTAGATTTCATTAATGAATTGAGAATTCTTAAAATTAGTAGAACAAAGTTGCAACAAAATGTTAAAAAGATAGAAAAGAAACACAAAATTGCGATCAAAGAATTACAGGAACAGATAAAAATCAAAGAGCAAGAAAATAAACAACTTGTAGAACAAAATCATTATTTAACTAGTTTTGTTTTAGAAAAAAAAAAGACAATAGGTTACTTATAGAAACCAAAAAATTAAAAACATATGACCTACCCATAAGAAAGTGTGTTTATGCTGCTATTATTAACAATGTGCCTGTGGAAAGTGTCTCATTTTTGTTAGAAAAAATTTCTGAACTGTTACACAACACAGAACTGCAAGAAACACCTCACTCATCCACAGTAAATCGAATGGCATATGAGCCAGGTGTTTTAGCATAGGTTCAGGCTGGTGAGGCACTTTTTCATTGTGAATGTGCAACAGTAGTGTTTGATGCAACCACCGTTTTAGACAAACATGTAAATGAGTTTCTTATCAGTACCTATCCTCCGCAGAGATGTTATTCCTTATCAACCGCTAAACTTGCTGGAGGCACAGGATTTGACTGTGCCACTCATATTGTCAGTGTAATAAAAGAACTTGCCAATACATTTGCAGAGTTTAAAAATATGCCAGCAGTAGAAGTTTTAGATGTTTTCACTCAAAAAATCAAAAGTTGTCTGTCAGACAGAGCACCTGTTAATAGTTGTGTGAAAAACATGCTTCAGGAGGAGATGGACATTCAATTAATGCAACTGTAATGCAATGTTCATCCATTAGAAACTATTGCCTTAAAAGCATTACTAGCTCTTAAAACAATAGATAATAAGTTAAAGATAAAACCAGCTAAAGGAACTGATGGGGTTGTTGTAACAGTCCTCAAAAATATTTCTAAGCTAAGGTAATCTTTTATATGTATATCTTTCATTATTTAAATTTTTTTTTAGTTTTATTTTCTTGTGAGCAATTATTTCTTTATTATTTCCACGTTTTGAAAATTTGAAATTTTAATTTTTTTGCTCTTTAAAAAGCAGGTATAGTTTTAAAGGCGATCCTGCAGCATTCCAAAGCTATCTTAAAAAAAACAATGTTGCTCCAGGGCTATTCCTTAGATATGTTGGTAGTAGATTTCATGTTTTTTTCCATATGGCAGGGATTGTTGTTACATACGAAAGAATTATAAAAACCTTTCTTGAAAAGTAAGTTTTTTTCAGATGAATAATTGTTTTAATAGAATTCTATGTATTAACATTTTCTCGTTATTCTAGCAACACCAAAAATAAAATTTGCCAACTCTTACTTCAAGATATGAGTAATGATATAACGCTTGTGCAACTGCAAGGGTTGGGCCTGATAGGAAAAATAATAACTGGGCCATGGATGAGTCTGGTTTATAAAAATGCAACAGGAAAGAGTAATCTTGAGTTTGTAAGTTTTTAGCAAATATAAGTTTTTAAAACAAATAAAGTAGTTTAAAAAATGTCCAAAATTATTTTTTATTAGGGTGACATTTTCCAGAAAGCAATAAGGAAATTAGCTAACTTCAATAGTAATCCAGAATCAATTCTTTATACAGATGTGGATATTTTTAGTCAAGTATTAAGTATCAAAAAAGATAAGGTACACCAATCCCTTCGTGTAATTAAAAAAAAAAATATTTTGGTAAAGATTTTATCAGTTTTGATAAGCTACACAGAGACAGTTCTCAAAAGACAGATGGCCAGGTATTTGACTGGCAATCTCTCAAATCCATCTAAAGAAATGATAAAAACCACACTATCTGCTCCACCTCATACAATGGAGGCTGAAAAGATCTTGGGCATGCTTGATTTTTTTTTGCGTCGTGCTCCTAATGCTACTTTTGGTTTTCTGGATTCTAAAATAAAAGCCAGGGTAAACAAAACATTAACATGGCTTGATGAGAAAACAGTGCCAGAACAAGAAGATCTTATTCAATTTGTAATTCGCAGAGGAGCTTTAACGTGTCAAGCCTCTAAAAATTTTAATAATCTTTTGTATGAAGAAATAGAAAAAAGATGCGCCAAAGCTAATTCAAAAAAAGAGCGTCTGGAAAGAAAGCAACTAGAGAAGGATATTAAATAAGCAGTAGCTGAAAATGCCAAAACCACAAATCCTCTTTTTGTTAATATTGATGAAAAACAAAAACGAATTTTAGGAGTAATTTTG